GGAAACAAAAATGTACAAGGAAAACGCCCAGAGCTCGACTCGAGGAGGAGCACCACCGCGTCTGCCTTGCAATGGCCAGGCTCAGCCATCGCCGCCGCTGCAGCCTGCACCAGCGCTGGGGCCCAGGGGCTCCAGGAGGGAGCGAGGAACCCTGAAGACCGCGCCCGTGCCGTCAGGGTCGATCGCGACGTCCATGCCCTGGTCCGTGGCGTCCCAGATCACCTCCGCCGCTGCTCCGCCCAGAGCCGTGCCCGTGCCGCGGACCCGCACCCGCAGGCCTGCGGGCAGGGCGGCACGTGCGCCTGGCCCCAGCGCAGGCGGGGACGGCCTGGCGCTCTGCACGCCGACGTGCATCGCGCCCACGCTCTCGTCATCGCGGGCGTCGCCGACTTCGACGGGCACCTGCACGAGCGCGAGGCCCGTGCGCTGCCCACCAGCGCCGTCGCTGCCGTCCACGGCCGCCACCGCCTCGCGAATGGGCGGCACGCCCGCCGCGGCCGCCGCAAGGCCTGCCGCTGCTGGGCGCCCCCCATCCGCCCAGGAGTCGTCCTCCATGGAGGCGTCGTCGTCGGCCGCCGCCGCACCGTCGCCACCAGGAGGACCCGCCGTCAGCGCGCGCGGGGGCCGCCTGCGGCGTCGCCGCCGCCGAGCCCGCTCCGCAGCGTCCGCGCCAGGGGCCCCGCCCTGCGCAGCCGCTGCGCCTGCCGCTCCTCCAGCTCCTCCCTTCTGCTCCTGCTCGTCGCCGTCGTGGGCCCGAGGGGCGCCAGGCGGGGCCCCCGCGCCGCGCCCCGCGCGGCCGCGCGGCCGGCGGCGCCGCCCAAGGCGGCCCGCGGCAGCCGGTGCCGGGGGGGCGGGCGCAGCCCTCGCGCCAAGGGCCACGATGGCCGCGCGGAGCAGGCCCTCGGCCGCACGCAGGAGGCGGGTCCCGCTTGGAGACGCCGCCTCGACTGCGAGGCCGCTGGCGGCGTGGGCCGCCAGGAGGGCGCCGCGGGCCGACTCGAGGGCCCTGCGGCGCGCCGCATCAGCGCTGCCAGCGTCGGCACGCGCAGCAGGCCCAGCGGTGGCCATCACGAGGACGGCGGCCGCGGGCCCAGGCGAAGCGCAGCTTGAGCCGAGGCAGCTGTGTGTGTGTGTGTGTGTGTGTGTGTGTGTGTGTGTGTGTGTGTGTGTGTGTGTGTGTGTGTGTGTGTGTGTGTGTGTGTGTGTGTGTGTGTGTGTGTGTGTGTGTGTGTGTGTGTGTGTGTGTGTGTGTGTGTGTGTGTGTGTGTGTGTGTGTGTGTGTGTGTGTGTGTGTGTGTGTGTGTGTGTGTGTGTGTGTGTGTGTGTGTGTGTGTGTGTGTGTGTGTGTGTGTGTGTGTGTGTGTGTGTGTGTGTGTGTGTGTGTGTGTGTGTGTGTGTGTGCCCAGCCGCTGCACCTACACGCACTCGTCATACGCCATTGCGGCCCCCTTGGGTCGCGCCTTTGCCACCCTTGGTCGTTCTCCTCTCTTCCCCCCTCGCGGCCGCCCCCCCGCGAGCGTGCCGCGTGGTCATCCACGGCATATGTGAAGGGGCCCTGGGACACAGACATAAATACACGCAAATAACAGGATACCGTATATTTTCCCATATTTTCTGAGTTTCTGTCTTCCCCCCCAAATCCCATATTTTCCTATCGATATTTTCTGGGGAATCGACGATTAATTGCGTCTGTGTATTCTTTTCCCTCTCTCCCCCCCTCGCGGCCCCCCCCCCCCCGCGAGCCGTGCCGCGTGGTCGTCCACGGCCCATGGGGCGGACCCGGCACGTCCCCGCTGCGTGAGCTGGGCCCTCACGCTCTCCTCCCGCCCTCTCTGGCTGACTGTGACTCCGCAGCGCTGATGCGCGCGTGGCCGCGAAGCCAAAAAAAGCCCAAAGAGGGCTTCAAGCGGCGATTTTGAATGTTCTGTCTTCGTCCTCATTGTGCTCCTCCTCCTCCTCCTCCTCCTCCTCCTCCTCCTCCTCCTCCTCCTCCTCCCCCCTCCTCCCCTCCTCCCTCCTCCCTCCTCCCCCCTCCTCCTCCCCCTCCTCCCCCTCCTCTCCTCCTCCTCCCCTCCTCCCCCCCTCCCCTCCTCCTCCTCTTCCTCCTCCTCCTCCTGCTCCTCCTCCCCTAGAGTAGACAGCGAAAGTCGAGGTCTGGTTTCAAAGAGCCGGAGGTTCCTAGACTGCAGCTTGCCCCGGGGCCTCAGAGCAGGAGGGCCCCGCCCCCCCCGCTGCCCCACCCCCAGGCCCTCCCGCAAGCAATTGGGTCTGTTGCCCCCTCGGAGACCCGCTGCGGCGTTGCGTGCAGCGGTCTGCAGGCAGAATCAATGGTGAGACCCTCTTTGTGACGTGTCAGACTGTGTGCAGCCTCAGCGGAGGCGGAGGAAGGTCGAGACGATGAGATATCTCAACGCTGCGGCCATTATCTTGGACCACGGTATCACCTATGACGAGGCGCTCGAGCTGGGATCCCCTGGCGAGTCAAACGATGGTCAGGAAGATGACTCCGATATTAGTTCGCCGAGTGATATTCGAGAGCTGGACCAGAGTACGTTTGGGGAGGGGCATCCTGCCAGGCTGGTGCAGTGTTTATTCCCTGGCCTTGTGTTTCCAATGGGTGGTCGGCGGCAGCGTAATCCGTCTCTGTTGCTAGACTCTCCTGCGCCAGAGAAGGCTGAGATTCGAATCCTATGGAACTCGGAAGGAGAGAATCGGCTGGACGCAGAGGAAGAGAGCACGTATGAATCAGGCGTTCCCTCGGAGTTTCCCTGTCATGTCTGGCGGTGCTGGTGACGCGTAGCCAGCCAAGAACTCGGGCCGTGGGGTTCCGCCTGAGCAGGAGGGAATGTCGACGTCGCTGCAAATCCTGACCTTCAATGAGGTTCGTGTCGCGGCAGGTGTGTCCCGTCCTGGGCCCCAAGGAGTGATGAGGTTGTCGTCCTGGGGTTTCCGTGTGTTGGGGCCACCCAGCCTGTATTTGCTGGATGGCGGCTCGTATGGACGAGCCGTACTTCAGCGGCGACGGCAGCGCCGATGTGGCCCTGTCCCTCACTAATGTGATGTTGACCGAGGAAGTGTGAAGTCGGGCATGTCCCCCTACAGGGAGATTCTCTACGAAAAATGAAACATACTCGAAAATTATCCAGGCGAAGGTCCCAACCATATGCAGTTGTGGGTACCGTGCTTGTGAATACCTGCTTCGGTGAAGCTCCCTATGGGGCCACGAAGCGATGCACTGGGCGGGGGGGAACGCTGTACTGTGTGGGTGGTGTGCCGAATTGGGCCTCCGGGACGCATGTGGACGGTCCCACGGAGGGCTTCGGTGGAGCTCCCATGGGGCCACGAAGCGCTCTACGGAGTGAAAAAGCAAAATTGAGTTACCGGGACGCATGCGGACGGTCCCACTGGGGGCTTCGGTGGAGCCCCCCTACTATGGGGCCATGAAACGCTGCACTGCGCGGGTGAAAATGCCAAATTACATTTCCCGGACGCATGCGGACGGTGTCACTGGGGCCTTGGGTGGAGCCCCCTATGGGGTCACGAAACGCTGCACTGGGTGAGTGAAAATGCCAAATTGGGCTTCCGGGACGCATGCGGACGGGGGCACTGGGGCCTTCGGTGGAGCTCCATATGGGGCCACGAAACGCTGTACTGAGTGGGTGAAACGCAGGGAGGAGGGGGAGGAGGGCCACGAAACGCTGTACTGAGTGTGCGGGACGCATGCGGACGGTAGCACTGGGACCTTCGGTGGGGCTCCCTATGGGGCCACGAAACGCTGTGCAGGACGCATGCGGACGGTAGCACTGGGACCTTCGGTGGGGCTCCCGATGGGGCCACGAAACGCCGTACTGGGTGGGTGAAACGCAGGAAGGAGGGGGAGGTGGGCCACGAAACGCTGTACTGGGTGTGCGGGACGCATGCGGACGGTCCCACTGGGGGGGGCTTCGGTGGAGCCCCCCTACTATGGGGCCATGAAACGCTGTACTGGGTGTGCGGGACGCATGCGGACGGCAGCACTGGGACCTTCGGTGGAGCTCCCTATGGGGCCACGAAACGTTGTACTGGGTGCGCGGGAAGCATGCGGACGGTAGCACTATGGGGCCACGAAACGCTGTACTTGGTGGGCGAAACGCAGGAAGGAGGGGGAGGAGGGCCACGAAACGCTGTACTGGGTGTGCGGGACGCATGCGGACGGTCCCACTGGGGGCTTCGGTGGGGCTCCCTATGTGGCCACGAAACGCTGTACTGGGTGTGTGGGACGCATGCGGGCGGTAGCACCTGGACCTTCGGTGGGGCTCCCTATGGGGCCACGAAGCGCTGTAGTGGGTGGGTGAAACGCAAGAAGGAGGGGGAGGTGGGCCACCAAACGCTGTACTGGGTGTGCGGGACGCATGCGGATGGTGGAGGAGGAGGGGGAAGAGGAGGAGAGAAGGAGAACGCGGGGACCGTCCCTTCAAAACGAGGACCAACACCATAGGACGGTTGGGAAATACTCCAAAATGGTCAAAACATATTCCACAAATAATCCCCATACAATTTTTTCACTATTTTTGAATATTCCCCCTCTAGAGAGACAGGCCCGACTTAAGGAACTGCTGGTTCTCGATGGCGCCGTCTGCGCCGTCGGACACGGCTCTGTCGCTTTCCGTGGGGCGGTTTCCTGCTGGCGAGCACGGGCCGGGGCGCAGGCTCCGTGCTCCCTGCCGCGGCCTGCGGCCGAGGCCCCCGTGCCACGGCCTGGCGCGGGCTCGTCTCCTGGAGAACCGCCTCCAGCAGTGCGGCCTCGGGCCCCGCCCTTCTGGAGACGGTGCTCCAGGTTGTATCGCGCTCGACCCTGCCCGGTGAAGACGCATGACATTGGAGGCCGCCCATCGTGATCCCGCCTGTCCTCCAACCACCTCTCGGCCTCTCCTCGCTCGCTCCTTCACACCTCTGCCAGAGGGCGCTCTGCGGATTTGGTCAAAAGCACATTTGCCCGCCCCCCCCCCCCCTGGCGTCTCCCGGAAGAGCAGCCCCATCAGCGCCGGCGAGAGGATCCGGAACACGGAGCACCCCGCCTGGTCCAGCCCCAGCACCCGGCCGCGCCGCCGACGGGGCACCAGGCGCACCAGAAGTATTGTGATGCTCGGGTTGAAGAGGGGCGCGCCCATGGCGTACAGCACCTGGAGGAAGCGAGGAGACGGCAGAAGCAGAAACCTCCGGAGGTCCACGCTGACTCCTCTGGTCGGTGCTGGGCCCCCCCTTGCGGCGCCTCCAGCGCTGCCCCGCGCTCCAGGGAGGGGGGTCCAACGCCCACCCAAGAGATCTGCGCGGAGCTCCTCAAGTTCGTAGTCATGCCCTTCTGTCTTCTTCGAGTGCAACACCATCGTCCAGACGAGGGCCGACACCGACTCGGCCCGGCCGAGGCCCAGCAGGCTGAGGCAGACGATCGCCATCCCGGCCGCAGCGGTGCTGAGCACGTCGGTGGCGCGCACGATCCGCTTGTACAGGACCGTGGAATTTAAAAACATCAGGAAAGCCTGCGCCGTCATCAGCCGGCCGAGCGCGGCGGGCTGCAGCCCGAAGCGCTCAGCGCAGAACACGACGAAGAAGCAGTCGACGCAGGCCCGCGCGAAGACGTAGAGGAAATGTATGACCATCGCAGGGGCGACCACACTCCACGAAGTTCTGGCTTCTGGCTGTGGCCCCTCGACCTTCTGTGGGGTGCCCTTCGTCTCTCCCAAGGTGCTGCCGCTGGCGGAGGACGACAAAACTGCAGAAACGTAATCATTCGGATGCCCGCGCGGAGGTCTTGGGGTGGCGCCAGACCCCCCTCCCTGCAGCGCGGAGCGCGCCACCACGGGGGTCCAGCGCCGATATCCGAGCACTCCGCGCGGAGGCTCCCAGAGCTCAGAGTCAACCCGTGCAGGAAGGATGCGCGGTGGGGATGCAAGGGCCTCGGAGGACCGTGTGATGTTGACGCTGTTCGAACGAGGTTGGCCAGCGAAGGTCGCTAAGGGTGGGCCGAAGGGGCAAGGATGCGGGGGCAGCCTTGGAACGTCGCCCATCCTTACTCTTCGGGCTGACCGTACAGTGCGGGCGCGGCCGCAAGAAAGCCTCGCAAGAAACACAACCCTGAGAACCCGTGCGCGAGGTACACCTGAGAGGAAATCCGGAGCACCCTGAACGCAGTAGCTCCTTCAACGGCTGCGGGAAGTCACCGCGCAGCGCGAGGAGCGAAGAAACCCAGGGTACCCTGACGAAAAGCATGTGGTCTCTCGATGCGCGCTCCCACTGTATGCTCGAGGAGCAGATGGTTCCTCTCCGAGCTGAGCAGCAGCGCCCGGAGGGCCTCGCCCTCTTCCCTGGGCCTGGGGCCTCGAGGGGGCTGGCCCTCGGCCCCCGCGGGCGCACGCAGGCACACGAGCACCGCGGCCGCGGAGGCGAAGGAGGCCAGACCGCAGCACAGCACCACGCAGGTCAGGCTGCTCGCGGTGAAGCCGCCACCGTGACCTCGGCACGTTCCCGGGTCTCCGACAGCGTCGTGCCTTCCTCCATCCGGGCACTGCTCCTTCGACTTCGGCCTCATGGGGCCCGTCATGGGGCCCCGGGGCCATCGGGTACGGATCCGGGGCGAAAAGCCGTCCTCGGGGAAGCGGGGATTCTGGGGCCGCGCACTTAAGTCATCTCATCGTCGGATGTCTGGGACGGGATGAAACCCAATGCCTGTTAGCGTTCTGGTGCTCGGAAGGGTTCTGCGATTTTCCCAGGGTGCCCCCCCCCGCCCCTTCCCCCACTACCCGTAGACTCTGGCATTAAGTCGGGCGTGTCCCCATACAGGGGGATGTTCAAGGAAAAACTAAAAATACAGAAAAAAAGAAGCTCCCAAATGCTTAAGAAATATGGAGAAATAGTCACCGGACTATTTTTTGACAATTTCTGAATCTTCTCCCTGTAGAGGGACAGACCCGACTTCACTCTGGCAAGACATCCCCCCCCCCGCCCATGAGTCGGGCCAACACTGCCTCAAGCGAACTCCACGATGGCATCGGGGACCGACCAGCCCCCGAGCCAGCCTACAGAAGCAGCACCATCCTCCAGAGGATGGAGCTGCTCTCCGGAGGCACTACGGGGCGTCACGTGCTCTTAAACAAGCTTTCAAGGAAGCCTCCCGCGAGGCACTGCGAAACCATACCAAGGCGAAACCTCTGGCAGTGCGACGCGTTTGCTTCCAAGGTTTTCTCTGCCAAAGATGGCGTCGGGAAGGCCTCAGAGAGCCCAAGAGGCCTCCAGGACAGCCCATGGTGGTCCCACGAGGGCCCCTGACGGCCAGAGGGCCACACAAGGCGGCAAAAGACGGCCCCAAGAGGACTTCAGTACGGCCCCAAGACCCGCACAGACGGTCCTCAAGATGGTTCAATCGAGCCCCTTCGGGAGTGCTCGGAAGAACCATCGCGTCTCCACGAGGCGCCGAATAAGGGCCCCGAGAGGCAACACAACATCCGTGCAATGCCACGGCCGTGCCGCGCTGAAACACCGTGGCGGCATCTACCCAGCATGTCGCACATGCTCGTCCATGCTGCTGTTGTGAGCGCGGAGTTTGCCGAAAGCAGGTGGATATCAGGCCGCCCAACAGCGGCCCGAGTAGGTACGCCAGCGTGGCAGCGGCCTCGCGCGCCGCCATTGCACTGGGCAGGTCCTCTTTTTTGGTGACGTCCGCGATATACGCCTTCACCACGGTGCTGGCCCCTGCGAAGGCGCCGCTGCCTGCTCGCAGCGCCAGGAAAGCTCCGAAAGGGGCCCCGCTGGAGATGGCAATGGCCTGCAGCACAAACCCGGTGCCGACACCCAAGTAGGACATGACCAGGACCGGCTTCCGGCCCATCCGGTCGCTCAGCGCTGGAAAGACGAAGGACGCCAGGAACAGGCCCGTCGGGAAGGCCGACGTGATGAGCCCCGTCTCGGCCGTGGCCACGCCGAAGTGCGCCTTCAGCGCCGGCAGCACGGGGCCGCCCAGCGTGAAGCCGAGCAGGTGCAGGAAGGTCATGAGGAAGATGGCCTGGCGGTGCAGGACCGGCTGGCCTCGGGGGGCAGCGGTCGGGGGGGCCCGGCGCAGGGGGTGGCGCATCGACCTGGCATCGGCGATACAGTGGGGGCGTCGACCTAAGGAACCCTACATAAGTAACGAGGCCCTTTCTCCCATAAGTTGAACTTCGATTTCCCATGGGAAACCTTAGGAAAACCGAAGGCAAACAACAGAACAATCAAGGAACACCGAGCCCCTCCCCAACGGAAAGGGTTCCTTCTTCAGGGCCCCGACCGTACATCATCGGTAGATCGGCGACAGGTCCCCGATGACAAAACCGCACGCTCCTGGGCGGGGGGGGGCTGATCCGACCCACAGCGGCGATCACTGGGCGATTCCAATCAACCCGTCAAGCAAGGGTGCGCGGTAAGGATTGCAAGGACCTCATAGAGGGCCACGCTGCCGTTTTCCGAGCGAGGCTGGCCAGCGAAAGTCGCCGAGGATGGGCCCGAGGGGCAGCCTTGGAGAGTCGCTCGGCCTACTATGCGGGCTGACTGCGGGGGTCGATGCACCCCTCCTGTACGCCTATCCTACACCCTGCGAAATGCTTAAGAAATCATGGGTTAAGAAATTCATAGTCTCAGAAATTGAATAAAACCCAGAACTTCTAGCAAATTCTTCGGATTTACATTGAAAAGTTAAGAAGAATCGAGACTCTGGCCGAAAACTTAGGTTTTCTTAAGCATCGCCTAAGGTGTATCCTACCCCCCTGCCGTTGCCCCCTGCTGGCCCAGCTGCAGCGGCGGGCCCGACCGCCGGGCGCCGCCGGCGGGATCGCCCCCCGACGCGGCCTGCTGGGCCTCCCGCCCGATCCTGGGGAGGCAGAGAGGTACCAATGCCGTGGGTCCCCCATCGGCGGGCCAGCCTTGCGCCTTTCGGGGCTCGATTTCTGGGCTGGGCTCGCTGGCCGCTTCGGCGACGCCCGATAGCTGCAGGCGGGCTCCGATATCAGCCTCGCTGGGGCTATGGTGGCGCTGCGCGGTCCAAGCATTGCAGCGCATCGCCGCGTGCCATGCGGGGGCCAGACCTCTCTCGAATGGACCAGACGTGGGGCCCAACTCTGAGACATACGATGGGGGAACGTCCATCGTCGAGATGGGTGCGTCCAGATAGCTCTCCCTTGGGGTGTGTTCCAGGGTTTTCCCAATTATATGAGCGGCCAAACTTTTGGGGGGAACCTGGGGATCGGGGGAGAACAATTGCCTGCGACTCGTGGTGGCGCGCACAAGGGGGGAAGGAGGCTGCTTCTTAGAAGGCGCGCTACATCTACAGAGACGGCCCGCGCCTCCCAAGAGGCAGGTGTGCTTCTAAGAAGGCTTCCCCCCTCCCCCTAACCCCCTCTGCGCGTGGCCGATCTCTGGAGGCCTCCCAGATGGGGTCCGAGCAGGTGGGGTCGGAGGATCACGCCGCATCGCCGATGATCATCGGCGATGCATCAGCGATGCGTCGGCGACGTCGGCGCTGCATCGGCGACGCCAGCGCGGACAGAAAAGGGCTGCACAACGAGCCGCATCGTGGATGCATCGGCGATGCGGCGCGACCCTCCGACCCCACCTACTCGGACGCCATCCAAGATGCCGAGACTCTCCCGGGGTGCATTTTGACCAGAACTTCGAGGAAGATCCAGCCGTGGCGACGAGGGCCCTTCAGGACGAGCAGCAGCGGCACTTGTTCGATACGCGGTCCCCAGAAATCCAAACCTTCTCCTCAGGGCCAGTTTCTCATCCCGAGCTGTTCTTTGACGGTCCTGGGGCCTGGCGAGGGCCTCCGATCGGCCGCAAATGGCGAAAAACCTTCGTCTTGTTTTTCTGCCATACACGTTGGACCTCTGGGCGCTTACCTTTTCCTCCTCACTCATGGGGGGCAACGATCGGGGGGACTGGCATTGGGGGGGAACATCGACATGGAATCGGCGATAAATCGCAGATAGATCGGCGATAGGCCTCCGATGGTGAATCCATGCCTTCCTGTGCAGGTTGGGGCTATCGGGCCCTTTCTGCGATCAACGGGCGATTGGGGGTCGATGCCTCCCCTACGACGCAACGATGACGACGACGACGACGACGACGACGACGACGACGACGACGACGACGACGACGACGACGACGACGACGACGACGACGACGACGACTGCGACGAAGGAAGAGGCGGACTGCGACGAAGGAAGAGGGGGGAGGAGGAGGAGCAGGATCCTCAGGGGCTGCCTTTCCTCCACCGAGGTCCAGCTGGAGCGGCGGGGCCGCGTCGGCCCGCCCGCATGCCACGCCGCGAGGCCCGGCGGAGGGCCGGTGCCGGCGAACCCCGCTGGCCGCCCGCAAGCCGCGAGCCCCGGGCGGCCGCGCAGTGCTCCAGGCGCCTGGCCGGCGCCGCGCGGCGGCTCGACGGGGCCCCAGGCGGCGACCTGAGGCGACGCCCGGGCAGGGACGGCGTCGGACAGGGAGGGGCCCTGGGCGCCGCGTGCTTTGGGGGCGAGGGGTGGGCGGGGAAGGAGGGGCGCCCATCTCGGGCCCTCACGGCCTCCCTGTGGGCCCCGAAAGAGCGCCTTCAGAGGTCCCTGAGGGCTTCGTTTCTGCAGCCTTCCGCTACCTCTCTATTTTATCACCCCCACACACATCACGCTACACCCAGGGATCGGGGATCTCTGAAATCCGGCGGCTCTGGGGGAGGCCTCGGGCACCGCGGCCGACTTTTCTCAGAGCCCTCTGGAACGCTCCGAAGCGTGCTGGGACGCCCTGGAACGATCTCGTCCCCATCCTGGCCCCGCACGGCGACCAGCGCCAGCGCCGCGGAGGCGGCGAGCACGTGCGGCGCCTGCTCCTGCTGGTCCTGGGCTCGCCGTGGCGCGTCGGCGCGGCCACGCGCGGGCAGTCGGCAAGCCAGGACGGCGGCTGGGCTTGGCGGGAGCGCGGGCCTGGGCGGCAGCTCCTCCGGCAGCAACATTTCGAGAGCGCCGCGCCACGGGGTCACCGGCGCAAAGTCTTAATGAAAAGGCCTTCGCCTGCGCATTGTCTTGAAAAGCCTCCGGCGGGCGCGGCCGCAGCGGAAGCGCCTGAGACCAAGTGGCTGTGGAGGGGGAGGGGCCGGGAGGGGGACGCGGAGGGGGTGCAGAGGAGCTGTCGAACGCGAGCCGCAGAACAGAAACTCTAGACGCCCTCTCGGAGTGTCCCCGCCCTGATGCGTCTGAGCTGATTTGAACGAGGCCTGCGCTTCGCTCTGGACTAGTGTGCGCACCTTCTTTGCCTTCGAGGAGAAAACATAAATAAAACCGATGTCCAAGGTTTTGTGGACATTTGCGCCTGGGGGGACGAAGAAAAGGAGCAAGGGTAGGAGTGGCGTCCGGCGCCAGAAAAGCATACATGTGTATGTTCTACATATATATATATATACACATACACATATACATATATATATATATATATATATATATATATATGTTTGTGTGCTACATGGCTTACCACCAGAATCTGCACAGTTATAAATGTTGTACGTGTTGTCGCAGGGTTTCCTTGCCAAAATGTTCAAATGTGCATCTTTTATCTATATTGCTTCTTTTACCAAACAGCATCGACACTACGTGTTTTTTATCTGCGATCCCATCCGTGTCCTTCCTCGTGCTACTTTCCCTGGGGGCGCGGGGGGGGATAGAGGGGTAGGTGAGCAAGGGGGACGGGGCGCCCGTCTCCAAAAGAAACTTGAGGTACGTATATGTTGTTCTGCGGTTTCGCTCGGCTTCCTCATCAAACCTTCCAACTTATTTGTGTGCTCTCTGCTTTCACAAATCCTCCTTATTCACAGGCTTCAAAAGCATGTGTTTTATACGTGTTGTCACACGGCTGCCTTGCCAAAACCATCACCGGTACATGTGCTACTTGCGTTTCACAAGTTGTCGTGTTTGGTTTGTTGTGTTTGGGTGGCGGGGGGACGGAGGTTGTGTGTGTGTGTGCGTGTGTGTGTGTGTGTGTGTGTGTGTGTGTGTGTGTGTGTGGGGGGGGGGGGGGGGGCGGTCGCCCGTCTCCAGAAAACCTGAATGACAAACTCTGTATAGATTCACGTATATGTGTGTATGTCTCTCTTTCTCTCTATATATATATATATGTATACACGTGGTCGTTGTGTTCACACCTCTTTTTGTTACCAAAACCTTCAACTATATCTGTGTCATCTGTATTCCCCCCAGGTTTCCTTACCACATCCATCAAACTTTCCCCAATCAGAGCTTGCCTCTTTAGGGGTCCTAGCGGATTCATATGGTTGAGTTCGGCTCGTCGCCGATTTTCGCGGCACGCCCGGGTGCCCGGGTGCCCGGGGGTGCCCGGGAGTGCCCGGGGGTGCCGCGGGGGTGCCCGCGGGTGTCCGCTGGGCGTGTCTGGGGGTGCCCTGGTGCCCGGGTGCCCTGGTGCCCGGGCATGCCCGGGGGTGCCTGGGGGTGCCCTATAGCCCTATAGCCCAATAGCCCTACAACTCTGTAGACCTATAACTATAGCTCTGTAGCCCTGTAGCTCAATTTTTCCCTAATCAGAGCTTGCCTCTGTAGGGGTCCTAGCGGATTCATATGGTTAGGTTAGGCTTGTCGCCGATTTTCGCGGCACGCCCGGGTGCCCGGGTGCCCGGAGGTGCCCGGGGGTGCCCGGGGGTGCCCGGGCGCCCGCGGGTGCCCGGGCGTGCCTGGTGCCCGGGTGCCCTGGTGCCTGGGTGCCCGGGCGTGCCCGGGGGTGCCTGGGGATGCCTGGGGGTGCCCTATAGCTGTATAGCCCGGTAGCTCAATATTCATAAAGTTAATTTGGTTTGCCGCCGATTTTCGCGGCACGCCGGGGTGCCCGGGGGTGCCCGGGTGCCCAGGGGTGCCCGGGGGTGCCCGGGGGTGCCGCGGGGGTGCCCGCGGGTGCCCGGGCGCGTCTGCCGGGTGCCCTGGTGCCCGGGGGCCCGGGCGTGCCCGGGGGTGCCTGGGGGTGCCCGGGGGTGCATAGCCTTATAGCCATGTAGCCCAATAGCCCTACAACTCTATAGACCTATAGCTCTGTAGCCCCATAGCTCAATATTCATAGAGATAGGTTAGGTTTGCCGCCGATTTTCGCTGCGCGCGCGCCCGGGTGCCCGGGTGCCCGGGGGCGCCCGCGGGTGCCCGGGTGGCCTGGTGCCGGGGTGCCCAGGCGTGCCCGAACACCCATGCGCCGCTAAGGTCGAGCTGCATGCCGCAGCTTTCGCTGGTATGCGGCGGTTCTTTTCTTAGGAAACCACGTGGCTTGATCGCGAGGTGGCTGGAACATGAGATCGCAATTCAGAAAAGGAACTGGACGAGAACGACCCCCCCTTGCGGGTCCTATATGTGCTAATTAGGAATGTAATTCCTTCAAGAATTAAGGCAAACAAGCTTTTCCTGATTAGCGCAAACAGGCTTTTCCAACATAGTCTGCATTTTCGCAAAAATCGCTGGCGTCGGGTCCGCCGCCCCTCCTGTGCAGGAGGGGACAGAGGAGGCGCAGGAGACCGCGCGATCCGTATAGCCGTCGCGGTTCCAGCCCATCCAATCTTTATATCAAATATAACATGGTTCTTGCGCGTCGTATCATGGCCGAGAAACGGGTGAAGAACGCGGCTTCGGTGGAGAGACTGGAGAACTTGGTGAAGTCATGCCAGAAGGAGATACTTGCAATGAAGATTTTCCAATCTGACATGGATGACGCGGTCGCCAAAAACATGGCTTTATTGGGCGGTGCCATTCAGATCACGCAACGGATCTCAGAGCCTCAACTGCGAGATACGATCACCCATAAGCTCGGCGCGCCCAGAGATGACGCCAGCATGTATGCGAGGCAGCTTTCGGCTGCTCTCTCGCACGCCCTCGCCAAGTGGAGGGGGGCCGTTGACGGATCAAGGTTGCACCCCGCAGTGAAGCAGGTCGGTGAGATTGGGAGGCTGCAGGCAGGCAGCTATAAGAAAGCGAAGGCGAGGGCCCCCAGCAGGAGCAGATCACCGTCGCGCGCGCGGCCTCCGAGCACCCCAGCCAGCGGGCCCGCGATGGGCCCAGGATCTATCTACAAGGCGCACCACGTGAAGGCTCCGACGGGCATCCCGCTGAACGCGAAGATCTTGAGGCCACATCTGAGCGACCCCATCAGCATCGCGCCCTCGCCAGGCGGCGCCGCCGCCCCCAGGAAGAACCCTCCCGCCGAGACGGGCGACAAGAAGAAGCACAACGATAAGTTCGAGATTTCCACTGCCGACTACGACCGCATGCTCCTGATAGGGCAGAGCGGCGCGACGACCGCGGAATGCAAATTGGCGCCAGGGCCCGACGTCATGCGCACGGCCAAAGTGCACGGAGGCGACAAGGAGACGGAGGTGTCGAATGCCATGTGCGAGACGTGGCCCAAGAGGAAAACGAAGGGAACGGGCGGGCCTCTCAAGAGACCCGCCGCTGCCGCGAAGAAGCCTGCAGGGGCTTGGGACGAGAAGGAGCGCGCCGCCACCGAGGGCGACGAAGGGGAGGGGGGGGCGCAGCCCGAGCCCGACGAGGTCGAGGTGGAGGAACGGGAGGCGCCCGCGGTCAAGAAGGCGAAGCCCGCTGCAGCGGCTGCCCCCGAGCGGAAATACGCCGCGATGTGGTGCAAGAGGGGCGGGTGCAGCGCCGTGCGGGAAAATTTCGGCAACATGCGCCAGGTGTGCTCTATCGGCAGGAAATCCGACCGCTACAGCATGTATGGGGAAGATGAAGGCGGCGGAGGAGCTCGCGAAATTGCCGCATGAGAAAAAGTAAGCTGCTGGCGCAGATCTCCGCCGCAATGGGGAGCATTTCGGCGCAGCCCTCACGCGCTTCCTGACCTCGTAGACAGCCCCGCAGGAGGCCACCTGGCGGGGCTCGCGTTTAAGCGGCTACAACCGACCCCTCTGCAAGCGGAAGGGCAACGAGATCCTGGATTCTATGCGAGGGATGCCGCGCGGTGCGCGCTATAGATTCACTGGAGCGAAAGCGGCGCCAGGCCGTTCTTGCTCGGCGGCTGGCGCGGCGGACCGACTGCAAGCGAGCTTGATGAGCTTGATATTTCGGGGTCGGCACATATATATACGAGCGCACATGAACGCGCATATGCGCGCCATGCAGGCGAGGTTCGGCGGCGGCGGGGCGGCGACGAGCGTCCGTTGGCGGCGGCGACGGCGACCGCGCACGCGCGCGCACTCGCGCGCATGCACGCGCGCGCACGCGCGCATTGCCGCAAACATGTGCGTTCAATACATACCAGTTGGTATTCTGCCATATATATATATATATATATATATAGATGTATCTATGTATATGTATCGTAGATATGGGAATATATATATATATATATATATATATATATATCGTAGATATGGTTATGTCTACACTGGTAGCGCGCTTTCAATGAACAGCTTGTTCAGCTTAGCGTTATACGGAAGCGTTGCGACAGCTTGCCCCCCCCCCCCCCCCCCCCCCTCCTGTGCAGGAGGGCGCTGGGAAGGGAGAAAGTGGGCGCCGGGGAGGGGGAGCTCCAGACTGATCCTGCTTGAAGACGCTTCGGCTTTGAGGCCGCCGAGGGCCCAGACAGGGCGCGCGAGGGCCCAGGGCGGGCCTGCCCGAGCAGCGAGGCCGCCGCGAGGCATGCCGCCAGCAGCAGCCATGCTCCCCTTGGCTCTGCTGCCGGCCTTGACCAGCAAGGCGATTGCACTAGCAGCAGAGGAAGGGAAAGAGAGGGAGAGAACGCGGACAGCACGGGCAGAAGGCCGCACGGGGGGGGGGGAGGAGGAGGAGGAGGAGGAATGAGGAAGGAGGAAGGAGGAGGAGTAGGGGGAGGAGGAGGAGGAGGAGGAGGAGGAGGAGGAGGAGGAGGAGGAGGAATGAGAGAGAGATCCGCCAGGCGATGGACGCCGGCCTGGACGTCGGCCTGCGCATGGCGCCGCCTGGAGGAGATGGCCCCCCT